TCTTTCCCTTTCCAGAAAAGCATAAATATACAGAAGCCCCCTTTTCACTTCAGGGATCCTATCCACCCCATCCAGGGTCTATAGGTTTCTGCCATGGACATCAATCCTGTGGAATGTCTTGGAATTTAGAGGAGTAGATCATGGTACAGCGGAATGAGGCACAGACTCTGAGTCCAGAGGCCTGGGATCTGGTGTAGCCTACTAGTGCACCGTGACCTTGACCACGTCCCTTCATGGACTGGATGGTGGCTCAGATAATGGAGTGTTTCAGTCTATTACCCTGTTCCATCAATCCCAGAGGCTAAAGGTCTGTGGCTGTACTGACCCATCTCCTCACCCGACCAGGTCCTCTTAATGATGGCCTCATTGTCAGAGTGGGAAGAGACCACCACCGGCGGGAGTCTGGGAGGCACGCTGCAGACCACTGGCCGTTGCTTAGAGCTGGGTCCAAAAGTGACGAGTTCATTTGGACCTGAGGTCTTGCTGGGCTCCACTTGGTTCAGGTTGTTGCAGGCGCTTGTGCTCAGGGGGTTGAGCTCAATGGCAGGTGTGGCTTGGGTGTCAACACCAACACTCCTGGCCAGGAGGTCTGGATCCTCCATGGCCACGGGTTTGTGGGACTTGCAACGGCGGCAGTAGAAGAGAAGCCCAGCAGAGATTATGACAATGACCAATAGGACCACTATGATGATCAGAATCTCCTGCTGTCCCCAGTCCCCCCTTTTGATCTCAGGGGTGACAAGACAGTGTCCTTCTGAGCAGCCCCGTGATTCCATTTCACACCTGCAGACACAGAGAAATAGTCAGGGGACTGAGTCACTATACTACCCTTTCCATGTCCCCTCTTAAAAGATGTATGGGATAAAAACCCCTGCACTCAAGCCTGCCTCTCCAATTTCCCACCAAAAAAAAAAAAAAGTAATTATCACACATATCAACACATCAACTTCAGTTTCACATCATCCTCTACCAGTGAGGTATGAGACTCAGCAATACCCTTGTTCGTGACCATTGGAATCTAGGCTCTGGGCAAGTCCATTATGTTCCACCCATGAGATCTAGGCATTGATACACTGCCTACCACTGAGGTCAAATTTCCAATCATATACTGTGGTAGAGGTAGCCAGCAACCTAGCTGTCCTTCGGGTCAGGGTCCCAGATACAAGTCAGCAGTCACCCAGCGCCAGTGTTCCCTCTGTCCCTCACCAGGAGGTCGCAGGAACCCAGCATGGCTCCACACAGACCTTACACGGGACAACTTTCTCGGAGAGAACACCTAGAACCATATGACCTCTCAGGTCACCTTCAGCTTGGCTTTCATTGGTGTGAGGCTCCTAGGAGACTTCTATAGTCAGCTTTACCTACTTTTTTTTTTTTAATAGATCTTTATTGGAGTATAATTGCTTCACAGTACTGTGTTAGTTTCTGTGGCACAACAAAGCGAATCAGCCATATGCATACAGGTGTCGCCATATCCTCTCCCTCTTGAGCCTCCCTCCCCTCCCCCCTATCCCACCCCTCTAGGTCATCACAGAGCACCTAGCCGATCTCCCTGTGCTATGCTGCTGCTTCCCACCAGCCAACTATTTTACATTCGCTAATGTATATATGTCGATGATACTCTCGTTTCGCCCCAGCTTCGCCCTCCCACCCCATGTCTTCAAGTCCATTTTCTATGTCTACCTCTTTGTTCCTGCCCCGCAACTAGGTTCATCAGTACCATTTTTTTTTTTTTTTTTTTAGATTCCATATATATGCGTTAGCATACTTTTGAGGGACATTGGGAAAGGCTCCCTCCATCCCACGTGAGTCCCAGTGCCTGAAATTTCAGCACCAACAGTTTGTCCTTTGGGTTATACATTGGCCTCCCCAAATTCTCTTTTAAAATGCAAACACCACTTTCAGCCAGGAAGTGTCCCCCAACACAATGGTCCCCAACCTTTTAGGCACTAGGGATCGTTTTCACGGAAGACAGTTTTTCCATGGCCCGGTGTGGGGAGGGGATGGTTCAGGCAGTAATGTGAGCGATGGGGAGCGATCCAGAGCAGCAGATGAAGCTTCGCTCACTCACTCGCCACTCACCTCCTGCTGTGCGGCCCGGTTCCTAACAGGCCTCGGCCCGGTCCTTGGCCGAGTGTTGGGGACTCCTGCCCTAACACATCTGCTGGATGGAGAGAGTCCCCTGCTGCAGAGTGAGGCACACAGTGGGGCTGGAAATGCCAGGTGCTAAGAGAAAGGACTTGGATCTTAAACACACGGGGGAGCCTTGGACAAGCCCTTTCCTTCTCTGGGCCTCAGTTTCATCTGTAAATTGGGTGGATGGACTATATCACTGGATCTCTTATGCACCCACTGACAGCAAGGGGGTTCCTTGGGAGCTTGTTATAAGTAGAATCCTTGGCCTCCTTCCTTGGAGATTCCAGTTTAGTTGGTCCAGGAATCTGTATTTTTCACAAGTCTCCCTCATGATTTTTAAAGGTTTCCAAGTTGGGGAGCCATAAAACCAGAGAATTGCCAAAGCCTCTTTACATCTAGGATTCTAGGGATGATTCTCCTACCCTTACAACCCCCCAGGCCAGCATAATACGAGGCACAGGTAGCTAGTGGTGGGGTTTGAGGCCCACAGCAGTGCCTGTATCAAGTGGAATCATTACCCCCAGGCCGCTTTCTGGAAAGTCACGGTCCAGAGCAAGAGAATAAGAACTTTAGCTACTTTCAGACTTCAGCAAAGATCAGAACTGTCCGAAGATCTGGTAGGAAGTGCAGATTCCTTGGCCCCAGCCTGGAGAGTCCAATTCAGTAGGTTCAGAATAGGGCTTGGGAAATTTGTCTTTTTAACGAGCACCTCCCCCCCCAGAGTGTTCTGATGCAGGTGGTGGGAGGGAGAAGCCTTGACATGTGGAAAAGGCCAAGAAGCCAGGTAACCAGAGCACTCAGCCCCTGGCTGCCCATTGGCCTCTCTAGGGGTCAGAGTGCAGAGGTCATCCACACTCAGGGAGAGGAACCAATGGCAGGGGACCTCTCCTGTGCTTACCTGTCTCCCATGTAGGGGTGAGGGCAGATACAGGGGGCTCCTTCGGGGGAAGAGATGCAAGTTCCACCTTCCAGGCAGGGCATCGAAGTACAATTCTCCTTCCTTTGTTCACAGTGCCTCCCGGAGAACTGTGAGGGGCACGTGCAGACATAGCCTGGGCAGAAGGGCAGGGCCATGAGAGAGCACTCTGGTCCAGTGGCCCCAGGGGACAGGTCCTCGTGCGTTTGCAGATCCCAGTGTTCACACTTAGTTATGGAGTGCCTCTCTCTGCCACATGCACCGTGGTAGGCACTGGTGCCCTGCTGGACAATAAGTTTGGATCCCTGCCCTCAAACAACTTACAGACTACAGAGAATAGGCATCTAAAGTATAATAATGAGTATCGTCATCCTAGACAACACTATTTATTGTAATCGTTGTTCTAAGAATCTTCATGTATTAGCTCATTTGATCCTCCCGACAGCCCTGAGATTGGTTACTGTTATTGCCCTCATCAGGGACAGGTACAAGTTGATGGCAGGTCAGGGAATGAGGCTCAGGGAACGCATGCCATTTGCTCAAGGTCACACAGCAAGCAAATGGCAATTTGGGGGTTCAAACTGAGACAGTTATAGATAATATCAGGATATTAGTAATTATCATAAAAATTAGTTTTATTGAAGGGAAGCGTTGGGGGAAGGAGTTAGCCTAAACTAGGCACCAGGGGAGGTTTCCTGGAGGAGGTGATATTTTAGTTGAGACCTGAAGGTTGACTAAAAATTAGCCAGGCAAAAAGATAAAGGGGCAAAGAGGAAGATGTTTCAGGCAGAGGAGAACGTGTGCAAAGGTTTGGAGGAGAGGGTGTGGCGTGTCACCAGGGTGGACCAGCAGGTGGGAGGGGCCAGGGCATAGGAGCCACAGGCAGGAATTAGGAATTGGGACTCCATCTGAACGGCAAGGGGAAGCCACTGCAAGATTCCAAGCAGGGAAGCGATGTGCTCATATCTACATTGTATAAAGATCTCTCTGGTGCCCTGATGGAAGATGCTAGTGGAGGGAGAGAAGCAGGAGAGCAGGGAGGTGGCTGGTGCAGAAGAAAAGAAGAGAGGTGATGGGGGCTGGGGTCAGACCAATGGCGGTGGGGATGCAGAAGTGATGGACTCCTTGGGTATCTTAGGTAGAAATGACAGTATTATTTGTCAGGCAAAGATTAGAAAATGGGAGAATGCCAAGTGTTGACAGAGATGTAGGTGCCTAGGAATCTCACGCACTTGCTGGTGGAAGTACAGACTTCTGCGGCCATGCTGGACAGCAGTCTGACCCGATTTAGTCAAGGTAACTATTTGCATACTCTGAGTATGTGAATTCCATCTCTGGGTGGTGCATATGTACGTGTGTATGTGTGAAAAGTTCTCACATAGGTTTGTAACATGATGTGGGAGGATGTTCAGTGCAGCATTGTTGATGGAGGTGGGATGTCCACTGCTGGGAGAGTCCAGAGGGGAAAGGTGAGCGCATGCACACCTTGGAGTATTGAGCCGCAATTAAAAGCAATGAATAAGAATTACTCGTGGCAGCGTGGATGGAAAACTATAAAACATGATATACCAGTTATATAAGTTAGAAATTCAAGCATGTGAAAAACAGTTCTTCCATTTTGAAAGAACTCATTTTAAAACTTTAAATGGGTTTGAGGAAGGGAGAAGGCAGTGGAGTATAAAGGGCAATAAGAAAGAGAAACTGGGCTTCCCTGGTGGTGCAGTGGTTAAGAGTACGCCTGCCAATGCAGGGGACACGGGTTAGAATCCTGGTCCCGGAGGATCCCGCATGCCGCAGAGCAACTAAGCCCATTCGCCACAATTACTGGAGCCTGCATTCTAGAGCCCATGAGCCACAACTAGTGAGACCTCCACGCCTAGACCCTCTGCTCCGCAACAAGAGAAGCCACCACAATGAGAAGCCCGCGCACTGCAACGAGGAGTAGCCCCGGCTTGTCACAACTAGAGAAAGCCCACACATAGCAACAAAGACCCAACACAGCCAAAAATAAATAAATAAATATTTTTAAAAAGAGAGGGAGAGAGAAACTTAGCGTGCACCAATGATGACACTGAGATGTGTGATGACTTCAGCCTTCTACATCAGAGGTCCCCATTCGTACCCTTCCCCCATCCAAAAAAAAAAGGAGAAAGAAAGATAGTTCTTGTTGAGGGAGAAAGAAGACTACTGGCCTCCCCTGGTGTAAACCTAGCAGATCCCTACTCGTTACTCACCAGACAGTAAGGGGAAGAGGGGGATATTTCCACTGAGATCTGCACCCTGAGCACGCCTCTCGCTTAACAGCCCTGTGACCTTGGGTGAGTTCCTTTACCTCTCTGGGTATCCCTTACATAGCCCAGTGGTTTCCTGAGCAGTAAAATGGAGCTTTAATGGCTCTCTTCTCCGCCCCCCCACCCCCACTCCCTCCCTCATGGGACTGTGGTGGAGGAATCGGCTTGGTAAACTCTATGGTGATACACGATTGCTAGTTCAGCCTGGCAGGGTCCTCTGCAGAGCCTCCTGGGATAAGCCTCAGGGTCAGCCCTAGCCTTACCTGCCCCGCGGGTCTGTGAGCACTTTCCACCATTGAGACACGGGTTCTGGCTGCACTGGTCACTGTGGAGGCAACACTCGGTGAGGGCCCGCCTCTCCAGCATGCCCGCCACCTTCTTGCCATGGGCCAGCAGCTCCAGCGCCTCTCCGTTGATCATGACAGCATCCAGGCAGCCTTCGAAGCCCTGGGAGACATTTGGGACAGAATGCAAGAGGACGAGGCCACCCAGAAAGAGGTCCCTTTCAGGCCTCAGACTCCAGCAGTTCTCTGGGAGCGCAAGGGAGGCGTTGGCTGCACTGTCAACCGACAGGTGAACGGAAGTATCTGTCTCCTCCACCAGAACAGAGTGCCACTCTTGGTCATTCACACGAGACCGGGAGGAAAGATTTCCGTAGAAGCCACCTGGGCAATGGTATTCCAGCTGGAGCACTCCATTGACCAGCTGTAAAGAAAATCCAAACGGCCATCAGCAAAGCCAAGAAGTACTCAGAAAATCCCTGCTCAGAAGCTGCCAGTGCAAAGAATGTTAGTTTATTTTCACAGGTAGGAGGGGTAGTGTTTGGTGATTTTTCAAGGCTGTTTTAGACATTGTATTTGTAGAGTATAGAAACCCTCAAAGTGCTCTCCTATGGTCTCATTTGGCCCTCGCCGCTCTCCATGGGACGGCCTGGGCAGGGATGATATCTCCATTTCAGAGATGAGGAAACTGAGGCCCAGAGATGCCTTGCTGATCAAGACCCTGTCTTTTGGATTCTTCTTCACAGGCCTCTCCAGTATTCTATACTCCTCAGCCTTCAGGGATACCAGAAACCTCCCTCTCATCCCCACTCCCTTAACTCAACAGTTCAACAGTTCTTGAAGTGGGTCTCTAAGATGATTTCAGGGCATCTACAAGGTGAAACTGTTTTCATAATAATCCAAGACATTATTTGCCTCTTCTACTCTGATTCTGTTACAAATATACAGTGGTGATCTCTAGACATACTCTTATCACAACAGATAAAGGCAGAAGTAGGTACGAGCCAGCTAGCTTCTTTCAAGCCAGATGTAAGAGAAATTTGCAAAAATGTAAAACAATGCCACTCTTTTTTTAATTATGGAAAACTTTTTCCTAAAAGTATGGTATTTATGTTAACATGTAATGGGTTTCTTGTTATTTTGAAACTTCTCAGTTTGAATTTCTAGTAATGAAAATGCCAATAGCTATTACCCACATAAACAAAACTTCCCTATGATCCTCGATTATTTTTAAGAGTATAAAAAGTCCCAAAGTCAAAAAGTCTGAGAATCAGTGGGTTAGAACATTTTAGTTCCCCTCACCCTCGAGAAGTGGGACTACTTGTGGCCAAATAGTTTTCCTGTCCCTCTGGGTTATAGGTAGAGCTTTCTCTGGGTGAAATGTGAAGATCTAACCCAGTGTTTTCCAGAAGTTGGAAATTTGTACACCATCTTCCTTATTTTTGCCCTGGTTGAATTCTACCTATACCTTTATTTCCTTAAAAGGAAAACAGTATTATTACAGTAAATAGAAAACCAGTATAACCTGCCGTTAGGAAAAGACAATGACAAATGTAAGTACAACTTATACAAAACATTGTCATTACATCACTCCTCTCACTTACCTAGGACCACAGATCTGTTGATCCCTCCATCTTTCCACTGTCTCTCCCCTCTGTAATGTCCTCATTCCTCTCCTTACCAATCTTAAATTCCATAGCCAAATTCCTGTCCCTCTTTTACTTGGTAGAACTCACTTGGCAAATACACAAATCCGGTAAAATCCAACTCTCCCTCTATATATAAGTATCATGGAGCTGAACATGGCTGGAGAAAAACACACAGCTTTTGCTTATTGGTCTCCCTTTAATTTCATGACCATGAGTCTCAAATGAGCCCTTCATGCTACCCAACGATCGTACTATCTTGCTTAGTCCCCTCACTCTCTCAGATGACTATTTTCACAACTTCTCTCTCCTCAGACCCTTAACATCTCTCTCCCCATCCTCACTCTCAGCAATCAGATGGAAACTTCCAGGCACTCTCACCATCGTATCTGTCCACATTGTCCAAAGCCAACCTCTCCATTCATGCACTAGATCCCACCCCACCCCGCTTACCTCCTAAAGGACAAGGTGCCACTGACTTTCCTTTCTCCTTCCTACATCTTTGTTCACTCTCTACTGGATCATCCCAGTCATCATACAAACATGCTGTTATTGTTCTAATTTTTAAAAAAAAAAGTTTTCTTGAACCCACTTTTCCTGCCAGATAGCACTTTCTTTCTTTGCTTTCCCTTTGCAGCAAAATTCTACCCCCACCCACCATGACACTGAAACCACTGGTGTCAGGGTACTCAGCGCCCTTTGCGTTGCCAAATTCAATGATTGATATCACTTCCCATCTTACTTGACCTCTCAGCTGCATATTACGCAGCTGATCACTGCTTCCTTCTTGATATACATCCCTCATTTGGCTTCCCAGATACAATAGTCTCTTGGTTTTTCTCCAACATCACTGGTTGTATCTTTTCATTCTCCTTTATTGGATCCTCCTCTTCCCCAACCTCTCAGTGTTGGAGTATCTCAGGGATAAATCCTTAGTCTACTCTCTTTTCAGTCTACACTGTTTTGTGATCTCCCCAGTCTCATGGCTTTGAATACTATGGATATGTGGAAGAATCCCAGATCTTCATCTCCAGCCAGACCTTTCTCGCTAGATTTTGTTTGTCCAGCTCCACTAGTAGGTCTAATAGTCATCTCAAGCTCATATGTCCAAACCGGAACTCCTGGTCATCCCCCTTCCCCAACCTACTCCACCTGTATCCTTGCCCGCGTCTGTTGGCAGCAACTCCATTCCTTCAGGTTGCTCAGGTCAACATCTTACTCCTTGCTTTCTCTCCCAGCCCTTATTCAGTTCATCAGGAAGTCCTCTTGACCTTACCTTCAAAATCTCTCCAGAATCTGAACTTTTTCCCAGTTCCACGGTCATTCCCCTGATCTAAACTGCCATCAGCTCTCACCAGAATTACTGCCTTTTGGCTGGGTCTTTCCACTTCCATCTTTGTTCCTCTAAAATCTATTCTTAACACAGTAGCCACAAGGACCGTTTTTGCATATGTCACACCATGTTAATTCTCTGCTCAAAACCTTCTAATGCCCCCCACTTTGCTCAGAATAAAACTCAAAGTCCTTAAATAGCCTAGGAGACCTTTATAGATATGACCCCATCCTATTACATCTCTGACCTCAACTCCTGCTACTACTGTCCCCTTGCTCACTTCACTCAAGCCATATTGACGTCTGAGCTGTTCCTTAAACATGCCAAGCAATCCCCTGCCAATGACTATACCCTCTACCTAGAATGCTGTTCCCCCAGAAGTCTACATGGCTAACTACCTCACCCCCTTCAAATTATTGTTCAATTATCACCTCAATGAAGCCTTCCCTAACCACCTTATTTAAAATTGCTACTTCCCACAAAAGGGCAGAATGCAAGCATCATCTCCTCCACTCTGGCTTGGTAGACAGCATAGCAGTTAGAGGCTCATCTTCATTGAGGGAGAAAAGCAGCTATAATACAGAATGTACCAGGCACCTTCAAGATGGTGGAGGAGTAAGACGTGGAGACCACCTTCCTCCCCACAAATACATTAAAACTACATCTACATGTGGAACAACTCCTACTGAACACTGGCAGAAGACCTCAGACGTCCCAAAAGCTTTGCTTTTGCCTTTGTCCTAGGGTTCTGTCTGTCAGTTGTTTTGTTGTTGTTGTTGTTTTTTTATAGTATAGGTTTTAGGGCGTGTTATCATTGGTGGATTTGTTTTTTGGTTGGTTGCTCTCTTTCTTTCTCTTTTTACTTTTAAAGTTTTTTATTTTAATAATTTTTTTATTTTATTAACTTCATTTTATTACTTTTTCTTTCTTTCTTTTATTTTTTGAATGTAGAAGCATTTAGGAGAATCCAGCTCTATTTTATTAAGCCAGACATGAAAGAGATTTGCAAAGATGTAAAACAATGCCATTATCAGTAATTTTTAAAATACTGCTTTTGAAAAATTATGTTATTTATGTGAACATGAATTGGGCTTATTACTCATCTCTAAATGGATTAATAACAGCTATTTTAAATGTTTCATGGTTTTAATTTCTAACAGGGTAAACATCACTAGATATAACTCACGTTAACAAAAGCTCTTTGGGCTTCTTTCTTTTTTTTGGCTTCTTTCTTTTTCCTCCCTTTTCTTCTGAGCCATGTGGCTGACAGGGTCTTGGTGCTCTGGCCAGGTGTCAGGCCTGAGCCTCTGAGGTGGGAGAGCTGAGTTCAGGACATTGGTCCACCACAGACCTCCCAGCCCCACATAATATCAAACGGCAAAAGCTCTCCCAGACATCTCCATCTCAACACTAAGACCCAGCTGCACTCAACGACCAGCAATCTACAGTGCTGGACACCCTATGTCAAACAACTAGCAAGACAGGAACACAACCCCACCCATTAGCAGAGAGGCTGCCTAAAATCATAATAAGTCCACAGACACCCCAAAACACACCACCGGACGTGGTCCTACGCACCAGAAAGACAAGATCCAGTCTCATCCACCAGAACACAGGTGCCAGTCCCCTCCACCAGGAAGCCTACACAACCCACTGAACCAACCTTACCCACAGGGAGAAGACACCAAAAACAACGGGAACTACGAACCTGCAGCCTGAGAAAAGGAGACACCAAACACAGTAAGTTAAGCAAAATGAGAAGACAGAGAAATACACAGCAGATGAAGGAGCAAGGTTAAAACCCACTGGACCAAACAAATGAAGAGGAAATACGCAGTCTACCAGAAAAAGAATTTAGAGTAATGATAGTGAAGATGATCCAAAATTTTGAAAATAGAATGGAGAAAATACAAGACACGTTTAACAAGGACCTAGAAGAGCTAAAGAGAAAAAACAATGATGAACAAGACAATAAATGAAATTAAAAGTTCTCTAGAAGGAATCAATAGCAGAATAACTGAGGCAGAAGGACGGATAAATGACCTGGAAGATAAAATAGGGGAAATAACTACCACAGAGCACAATAAAGAAAAAAGAATGAAAAGAATTGAGGACACTCTCAGAGACCTCTGGGACAACATTAAATGCACCAACATTCGAATTGTAGGGGTCCCAGAAGAAGAAGAAAAAAAAAAGGGACTGAGAAAATATTTGAAGAGATTATAGTTGAAAACTTCCTTCATATGGGAAAGGAAATAGTCAATCAAGTCGAGGAAGTGCAGAGAGTCCCATACAGGATAAATCCAAGGAGAAACACGCCAAGACACATATCAATCAAACTATCCAAAATTAAATACAAAAAAAATATATTAAAAGCAGCAAGGGAAAAACAACAAATAACATACAAGGGAATCCCCATAAGGTTAACAGCTGATCTTTCATCAG